CCCAAAAACGCCTTTAAAATCCCCCAAAATAGTTTTAAAAGTTCTCAAAACAGCTTTGAAATGCAAAAAACTGCTGTAAAATCCCTCCAAAAACAGCTTTAAAAGGCCAGAAAAAGAGTTTTAAACCCCCCAAAACAGCTTTAAAAGCCCTCAAAACAGCTTTAAAATCCCAATAAACTGTTGTAAACCCCCCCCCAAAAAACTGCTTTAAAAGCTTCTGGTCTAGGCCGGCAGGAGAAAACGCAGATCCAGACTCTAGATCCATTTTTAATTAAAGTCTGATCCCACACGAGCATTAGCATTAGCATTAGCATCTGTAACCCACAGGTCTGTGTCCTAACCATTAAGTTGTTATCAGAGTAAATCCCTGTTCAACATGAGTCTGACAACTAAGTAAGTAGATAAATAACTTTAGACTTTAGTACAGGCTCTGATAGGCCGGGATTTGGATCGGGAGGGTAAAAAAGCTGGATGGGAACGTCCCTAGTTTGAAGGCACCCCAATAAAAAAGGCTCCATTTGTGCCGGTTTTGGAGGTGTTCTACCAGAGATGTGACCCTCTTTGTTCAATTTGGGTTGTGATTTGATTTTTTCTATGGCTTGAAAAGGTTTTTATAGATTTTTTTAAAAGAGGTAAAAAACCCTAAATCACCCGTTAGCATTAGCATCTGTAACCCACAGGTCTGTGTCCTAACCATTAAGTTGTTATCAGAGTAAATCCCTGTTCAACATGATTCCGACAACTAAGTAAGGAGATAAATAACTTTAGACTTTAACACGTGCTCTGATAGGCCGGATGGGGACGTCCCTAAACCAGTCACAACGTACGGAGGCCGTTGTGCTCACCTTCGTTCTCTAGGCAGCGCTTGCGGTCGGCCTCGCCCTCGGCCCTGCGGAGGCTCTCCAGGCTCTTGTGCTGAAGCAGGGCCTTCTCCCTCTCCAGAGTCCGCAGGCTGGCCTCCAGGCCCTTCCTGCTGCTCACCTGGAACCAGACCGGGTTAGGGTTAGGGTTAGGGTTAGGCACTACTGCCTGGAACCCGGGTTAGGGTTAGGGTTAGGCACTACTGCCCGGGTTAGGGTTAGGGTTAGGCACTACTGCCTGGAACCTGAGTTAAGGTTAGGCACTACTGCCTGGAACCAGACCGCACGGATCACTGCCCGGGTTAGGGTTAGGGTTAGGCACTACTGCCCGGAGCCCGGGTTAGGGTTAGGGTTAGGGTTAGGCACTACTGCCTGGAGCCCGGGTTAGGGTTAGGGTTAGGCACTACTGCCCGGGTTAGGGTTAGGGTTAGGGTTAGGCACTACTGCCTGGAACCAGACCGCACGGGTCACTGCCCGGGTTAGGGTTAGGGTTAGGCACTACTGCCTGGAACCCGGGTTAGGGTTAGGCACTACTGCCTGGAACCCGGGTTAGGGTTGGGCCCGGGTTGGAATCCTGCAGGATGGGAGTCATCTTTGCTATTAATAACGGGATTTAGACGGTACGGGATAAATGGTAAACGGGAGCAGACGGGAGCGGGAATCAACCAATAGCAAAGACGGAAAAAAAAAAGAAAAGTAAATGCACCATTTTGTAGTTTCCTTTTAATATGCCTACAATGTAACGCAATTAAAAAATAACTACATGACCCAGAAGCCATCAGGGCTTTTTGTCACGGCTTAAAAAGATTCAAAATTCAAAGAGCAGTGATGGAAGGAGCTAAAAAAAATGATTTACAGCGCAAAGTCAGAAGTAACGACATGTCTATTAAGTTCACAGAACTGGTCGGAAAGTCTGAAATATTATATAAGTTTATGAGAGAAGAATGTGACGGTGCTAGCACGATGTACGCTGCTTGTAAGAGTAAACGCTAATTGAAGAAAAAAAACAATATGGGAGCGGTACAGGAGCGGGATGGGATGGGATTATTTTTCAAACTTTGGTCTGGGACAAGATTTCTTTCTATGGGACAGGAGTGAAAATCCTCTACTCCAGAGGAGGGTTTCTACCTCCTCCTCCAGCTCCTTCAGCATCTTCTCCAGGCGGCTGGTGGCGGTTCTGCCCGGAAACAAAGCAGAAAAACGTTAGGAAACCTGGGCAGAATCGCCGTGCACGGGAAAACGTGCACGCCCCTACCTGCATTTGTGCTCCAGGTCGTCTTTGACCTGCTTATCGTTGTTCAACTGGACCTCGAGGTGGCGCACTTTCTGCTGAAGAGCAGCCGACTGGAGAAAGAAAACACGGACCAATCAGAGGACAGAACCATCAGAGGCTTTCTTGTCTCTTGTAGGGTTGTCACGATACTAAAATTTTCAACTGGATACCGATACTCAGGAAAATACTCGATACTCGATACCATTTTCGATACCACAAGGATAAAAACAAAGACCCCATAATTTAACTGAATTGTGTCTTTCATTTCAAACAGGCTAAACAAGGCTAACGTCTTGTTAATGATCATAAACAACGTGAAAAAATACATAAATAAATCAGAGAGAAGGGGAGGCTCGCGCGGTGGTATCGATATTTTTGAAAATGAGTATCGTATCCGGATACAACATTTTAGTATCGATACTTTTTCGAGTATCAATACTTTTGACAACCCTAGTCTCTTGGTTCCTGCCTCTGATGCTCATTTGTGTTGAGCTGATGACTTATTTTTGGTC